TTGTCGAGGTCTAGGGTTAGGGTTTGCATCGACCACAACCGGTTGCTGGAGCCTTGTCTCGACAGCCTCCATCTTCGTGACTTGCTCGGCAAGCCTTGCTGTTTGCTCTTCTTGAGCACGAGCAATGTTCTCCAATTGATTTCTAATCGCTTCGAGTGCTGCTTCCATGTTTGCGATGTAATAAAACTCCAAAAACACAAGAACTTAACAAGAACTCACACAACCTGCTTCTTGCCTCACAAGAAACACCAAGAACTCCCAAGAACAAACAACCTCCTGTCTTGCGGCTCAAGAACACGCCAAGACCTTCAAGAACTCGCACAAAACCACCAAGAACGCGAACAAGAACGCACAAGATCTTCAAAAAAAAAAAACTTCAAGAACACACCACTATTTGAACCTTAGCTCTGATACCACTTGATATAATCAAAGTTGCGCAGGGTCAAGCTTCTCGAACCAAACAGAACCGAATAGGATGGAAATCGATCGGACAGTACTCACCCGTGAATAAGGGCAATCGATATATGAATCGATCGGACAGATTCAACTTGGAATAAAGTGAAATCGATATGGGTAGCTAGCCATAACCAGGGTGAATACCTAGCTAATAAGAGTCGCTCTAGCACTCTGGAGATTCTCAACAGAGTAATTAGGGCAAATTCCGTGTAGGGAACTTGGCAATAGCCTCTGAAATTCAATAATAATCATCTAAAAACAAAACCAACGTGTTCAACCCTTTAAATAGGCAAAGTACAACCCAAATCCGACTCCAACATGGAAAAACAATCATAAACATCAAAACACCAAACCATCCAATGTAAAGGCGGTTTTCGGTGCTGGTTATCCAGTTACAGAAGCGACCCCACAGGCTTTCACTTTCGCGTCTCTCTAAAATTGCAGTCATTGTTAAAATCTTGGTTTATTTAATCATCACCGACTTTAAAACAAGGAAACCCAAAAATAGCCCAGCAAACCCGTTAAGCAAACCCGTTAAGGCTTCTTCTTGCAATCTGCCTTCTCTCCAGCACTTCCTCCTTCTTCCTCCACTCGAATAATCATATATGGCTTTCCTCGAAACAGCTCCACGTCCATGGCTCCAGAGTAGCTCTCCAAATACGTTGCAAGCTTCTCCTTAACGTTCGTGCCTTTGCACGTGTGACTGGCCCATTGATGTCCTCATCATTGTATGGACTCAAGCAGGAATCTCGCGCTTGGTTCGATAAGTTTCATAGTACCATTGTCAGTCTAGATATGCAGTAAAGCTTGAACGATTCGTCTCTCTTCACCAAGTACACCTCACGTGGGTTAGTGGTTCTCTTACTATGTGTTGACAACATGGTGGTGACAGGCGATGATTCTGTTGGGATTGACGATCTTACAACGGGGTTACGATCGTCTTTCAACCTCAAGGAACTCGGCTCCCTTTCTTATTTTTTGAATATGGAAATTACTCGATCACCTCAAGGTATTTTACTCAGTCAACCCAAATATGTCGATGATCTTCTTGAGACCATCGGATTCACGGATTTTTGGCCGGTATTAACACCTATGGAGGTTAACGTGAAGTTGGGCGAATATCTTGGCGAACCATTACCGGATGGTAAACAGTACCACAGCCTCGTGGGTAGCCTGAAACACCTCACCCATACTCTATCCAATATCTCATACGCAATTCACGTACTCAGTCAGTTTATGAATTCTCCACGGCACGTTCATCTGCAAGCTGCTCATCGAGTTCTTCGATATCTCTCGGGCATGAAGACAATGGGGTTGTTCTTTCCAGCTTGCCAAGATGACACCATCAACGCTTATTCTGACTGTAACTTCGTAGGGTGTATTAATACTAATAGAAATAGGACGGGGCGGTGCATTCAATATGGTGGATGCTTTGTTTCCTGGCATTGTAAGAAGCAGGATAAAGTATCCAAGAGCTCTACAAAATCTGAATATCGAGTCATGTCATACGTTGCTTTCGAACTCATTTGGTTGCACCGCTTGCTAGAGGAGTTCGGAGTTATCGGTTTGCAAGCTATTGATTAGTTCGTGGATAATACTAGTGCGATACAAATTGCCACAGACCCCGTTCTTCATGACACGACGAAGTATTGATGTTCATATACATTACATTCGTACTGTAGAGTAGATAGCTGATCTTTTGACGAAGACCTTCACTAATGTCCGTCATTGGTAGTTATCTAGAAAATTGATGCTCCGAGATCTGCATCAATTTGAGGGAGGTTGTTAATCGTAGCATAGCCCATTTACGTGTAGGCCCATGACGTGTACTTCGTAGTATAGTGGCCGATAGCCCATGATCATGTTATAACACTATTTCGGCAGCTAGGGTTAAGTAGTGTATATAAACTCTTGTAACTGGATGTATCAGGTAACTGAATACGAGTATCTCCTTCTTGTGGACTAGTCGGTATTGCATCCTGCAATACTTAAAACCACGTAAATCGTTTCGTGTTGTGTTTACGCTTGCCTATTACAGATACGATCGGTAATCTTAACAATGTTATGGTGCTTAAACTAATAAAAGAGATAAGGAGTAGATAGACTAATGCCTTTTAATATGTTGATCAATTTCTAAGTGTAAATGTTAACAATTACAATATAGTGTTAGAACCATAACAATACTTGCAGTGTTTATTATCCATAAAAAAATACTTGTAGCGTTTGTTATACTATCTTTTTCCCGAAATGAATATGTTGTTTAGATAACCTACATTGATTCTCATTTTACTCGATGTTGTGACTTTTTTTTCCGAGTAATGTCAATAAAATAGTTAGAAAGAATCAATACCCACAATCCCTCCCCAACCCACTAACAATTCACTCTTCAAAATCAAAATAAGCTAACTCTAACCGAGACAGCAACAGGGCTTTAAGTGCCACTCTATGAGTAACCCAGTTGGCAGTTCGCGGAACCGCACTAAAATCTATACAATGAGAAAAGACTCAATAAAAAGGCAAAAAAATTAAAAGATGAGACCATCAATGGAATCCTTCACCACATCAAAGTTGAGCTGACGGATTGCAACTTCTGCATCGGCTACGAGGATGAAACGAAACAAACTTATCGAAGTTGCAAGAGAGACTGCATCTCTAGCTGCAAGGAGTTACGTGAGATACAGTTCAGAGCTCCACCGATGCTGGACCCAAGTCCAAAGCACATGCCCGTCCGTGCCAAGAACAACATGGTCAGACGAGCAGCCAGAAACTTGGACAACAACATCGAAAATTATCTTCATATGGTATTGAGGAGGGCATTTCCCAAGAGGACTAGCAGACGTAGGAGCACAAGGCAGGGATGACCAGGTAGGCGACAAGGAGGAGAGAACTTCACAGGACTGAAATGAGAATTGGCGGGCAAGCGAACGGACATGGGGCTGTGTATTTTTAAATTTAGAAGGCTAAACGTCACCCTAATTTACTATTATCGCCCTAACATAGAAAATCAATTTTACTTAATTGTCCTTTATTTAATCTTCTATATGATTTATTTAATCCACTCTAATTCAACGAAACAATAATTGCTAATCCTCCAACATCACTGGTCGCCGCCTCTTCAAAACCCCTTCACCGGCGTTCTTCTCCAACTGCACTTCGCCGGCGTTCCTCCTCCCTGACCGCCCATCTCCAAAAAACATGGGTGATTAATTAGTTAAAGAGTGTGCAATCGCAAACATCAAACAATACATTCCTAGAGTCAGGGAGATTTGCTACTGAACATTGACGAATTGGAGATGAAGGCCGCTGGAAGTTTGAATTTAACTGATCTCTCAACCGATAAAGGGATAGATGTATGGTTGTTTTCTGGCTTTTCATTGAGTGCTTGTCGTCCGGAATGCAATCAATGAATTAATCTCTTCTAGGTTTCCTAATGGATTCGATTATGATGCATATAATGGTTGTGGTGTTCACAGCTCGAATAGTTCTGGTATACATTGGGTGGATGAAGGATGATGAATCAGGTGAGAATGCAAAGGGGATTGAGTTTAACTTACCGTGAGGAGCAGGAGGGCTAAAATAAAGTATGGATCACTAGGTATCGGACCCGATTCCGGCCATCAGAAACCAAATTTCCAATGAAGGAAAGAGGGAGAATAGGATTGTGGGCTGTTCTTTAGATTTGTTCCGATGGGTTTGTAATTTTTTTTTATTATTGAATGGGTTTATTTGTTCGTTAGGTCTATAAAAGTAAAAGGGTAAATTTGTCATTTTAATTTTTAAGTTAGGGCGTTAATTAACAATTTCCTTTTAAATACCACTTTATTTTTTATTTCCGTATTCTCCACAAGAGGCATACTACTTGGAGAATATGAGTTTGGGGCTGCTTAACTAGCATAACTTGATACCACCACAAACTAAAATTAACTTTCGAGGCCGAAACAAGCATATCACTTAATCCCCCAAAAAAGATACTATAACTAGATGACAATGGGGCAATGAAAGAGAAGTGTTATATACATTCACGAAACCTCCAACAAACATGGCATCAACTTAGATAGGTAGTTTGAGATAAAATCGAGATATTAAGTAGTAATAAGATCAAAATTTAATCCCATTTTGATTCTTTTCATCTCATAAATAGCAATTTAAACGAACCATTAAAATTTGTCAAGCGCCATAAAAAAATTGCTTTAGTGACTCACTAATTTCTTGTAACGTTTCATCAAAAGGCCATTAACTTGAACAAAACACAGTGATTATAGCAACAACTTGAACAATCGATGACTTCCTGGGACTGAGCATGATGGCGATTATAGAAGCACATGAAGTTACTTTCAGCTGTGGACAAAAGATGAATCACATGACGCCAGTGGGATGTAAACTGTGAAAGTATTCCCAAACTGAGAGTTGACAGTGGCTCGTTGATGTAGAACCAGGAATCAATCAGCTTCACATGGCAAGGACTCCAGCCATGGACTATGGTGCGACTAGAACAAGCATATGAATGCATGTAGATAAGCTTTGCTGACGTAGACTAAAAATAAACACATTGGTTTATTTTACTTGATGTCTCCTTCTCTAGCTATGCAAGTGTCCCACTAAAACTCTACTGGCATTGTGGACTGGCCGGCGAACGAGACAAATTGAAACGAGACAAACCTAGTGAGGCCGACCGAAGCTTTGACGTAACTGGACTACGGATGGCGGACATGGCTTGATTCGTGGACTAAAGCATGGACTCAAATCTCAAACACACACTTTGACCTGGTGACGAGGAGCTGAACGGCAACGACACGAGCCTTGACAAATGATGAAACTCCTTGATGCGAACTTTAGATTACACCAGATGATACCTGATTGCCTGTTTGGACGGCGGTTGTGAGGCGACCTCGAGGGGAAGTTCTTGGCGGCGATGAGCAGACTCGACGGTGACAGGGACATGGTGACCAGACCTTCGGTGACCATTGATCATGACTGAAATCGGTAGGAGACTTGGTGCATCGGCTGGATTTGACGGCAGATCTAGAGATCTCGTCATGTAAGCGACGGCGACGGTACGGAGTCGAAGCCAGAGTGGACATCGGCTGCGACGAGGAAGCAAGACGCAACGGCGGGAGGGACTTTGCTTGCTGCACCTCGTCTGTCTTCGATGAATAGGACTTGGGATGCGGAAAGCTTCGTTGAGACGAAGAACATCCGAGCAGCAGGAGACAAGTGACGATCCGGACGGGAATTGCATTGGACCAGCTATGGGCAATTCCCTCGGTACTCATGGCGGCGGAAATAGACGTAGGTTGATCTGGGAAAGAGACTGCGAAAGATTGCAATACCCTGGTAGATCGAGGTTTGCTCTGATACCATGAAGAATTTGATGATGAGGAAGACGAAACAACAAACGAGACAACGATTTTACGTGGTATCCTCGATCGATTGATTGATCGAGACTAATCCACGGTGAGCTCGGAACGAGCTCACGGCTGACGATTTTATTATAAGACTACATTGTGACGGCTTGCTTACGACAATCTCGTAGCTAAGCTTATATAGAGAGACTTAGGGTTAAAACCCTAAGGACAACCAAGTTTCCTTCTTTGACAATGACAAGGAAACAAGTGACTTCATGACAAGGAATTAATTATTTTTGACTAATTAATATCTTCTTGATCGAGACTAATCCACGGTGAGCTCGGAAGAGCTCATGAATGATATTTTATTATGGACTACATTGTGACGGCTTGCTTACGACAATCTCGTAGCTAAGCTTATATAGAGAGACTTAGGGTTAAAACCCTAATGACAACCAAGTTTCCTTCTTTGACAATGACAAGGAAACAAGTGACTTCAATGACAAGGAATTAATTATTTTTGACTAAATAATTAATATCCTCAACACGGCGAATTGAGAACGAGATCCCATATAGCTCTAGCCTACAGATGGGGATTTCAGCACAATACCGAATTTGATTTTTTATTTTTATTTTCGAGTGATATCAATAGAGTACAAGAGTTATACAAACAATACCGAATTTTATAGATGCCAAGAAATTGCGGCGATACACCTTAAGATTCGTTTGTCGCCGGAACTAGGGAATTGTCCTGGAGTGAGTTCGGTTGGAAGAAGAAGAGAAACAAACACAAAAAATAAACTATTTATATAGGAAGAGCAGCTTTGCATTGTTGTTAATTATTTTGGGTTTATATGATCATGTTCATCCAGCAAACCGAAACAATGTTGGAGAAGAAGACGGCGACGGCGACGGGGAAGATCAGCACCACCGCGACGCACTATATTACAGCAACGAACAACAACGACTCCTGCCAACCACCCAGGGGCGGAGCTACGTAGCCCCCTCCCCCGAGAATTTTAAAACTTACGTATAAAGTCGTAGAAAATTCCAAAAGTTACGTATAAACTAATGTAAATATAGATAGAATTCGATTGAAAATTGTTAAAAGGAAGATTTACAGCCTAGCGTAGGTGATACCTACATGCAGCTAAAAGGTCACTGGTTCGATCCTGGTAATCTAATCATTTACTTTGAGCATAGCATACTTGAAAACTTTAAATTAATTCTATTTCGAGTGCTTTCAATTATTTTAATTAATGTTATATTGTTATATACTTATATACATTACCTTTTTTTCTTTCATTTTGATGATAATGTACAAAGTTATTTCGGCCCCCGAACTTTAAATCCTTACTCCGCCCCTGAACGACCACCGCCACCAACAATTTCCCCAGTTTTCGAGGTACCCAATTGTTAGTTTCTTGATCGATGTTGTGACTTGCTGAGTACATAAATTCCTCTTGTTTATGAAGGAAAAATGAAATTCTAGAGACTATTGAGCCATTGGCTCCTTTATTTTTTTATTTTTTTTTAAGCTACTGACTCCCATCAGCTTGGAGAAGTGTTGAAAGTATAGCATGATTTTCCGTTTTCGCACTAAGTGGACTTTAATATTAAAAGATGGCGGCATCCATGATTTTTAAACTGTTGTTTGGACTGCACAATTAAACAAGCGTTTGACATAACCCAGCAGGCTTTTAATAAGCACAATTAGTGGACATGATTAATGATAAGGAAGGGGCAATGGGAGTCAGTTAGGTCGGTGGCCACAGTCTCACCGATGATGTTGTTTGAATGCCGATAGTGATAGCGAAGGCAAAACTAGATATTGAGAAGAGAGAACAAAGTAATAAATAGTTGCGCAGTTGAAATGAAAGAATCTTCACGAGGAAGCGACAATGCTTTGACAGAGGCATTCATGACTGACTAATAACAAGACTTGATCCGGTAATGCTTTCAATGCACACCAACAATGAAGCACTTCTCGCTCCTATCATTTTGTTTTACTCGTGTTTCCAATACTAACACATGATCCGGCCCGTTGATCGAAAAAATTTCATCGAGTAATGTTATATATAATAATGGATATAATAGATGATTTGAAGTGCATGAAATGATTGTTTTCTACCTTAGTTATATGCACATGACATTTTTCAAAGTGATCCAACTATGCATAATGTGTTTAGACCTCCATGAAAAGAGAGAAAAATATATAATATAAGTATTACATATAATTATTGAATGAAAAAAGAAATAAATATAACTAATTATCATTTATTGTTTAATTAAACAATATAGTTGAATATTAGAGTTGTTTCTCATAATACATACATAATCAACCTTTATGATGAAACAAAATGTCTCTCATAGAGTATAGTATGTCCTTTAGGTTTTTCCCAATATAGAGCATTTTTTTACCACACAGTTGGTAATGAATCTGAAGTTCCTTGTTTTAAAATATATAGGACATGATGCTAACTAGTCGCTAATAGTTAGCTGGAAAATGTGTTGTGTATGGACTTACCAAATTATTCTCATATCGCAGACATGTTTAGCAACAATGTAGTAATTTTCATGCAACAAATAATTTTTTAATGAAATAATTCAATAAATAAAAACCTATAAAATTCATATTACATAAAATATATGTTACTCATTAAGTTGATGAATGAGCAGGTGTATGAGAATCATACATTATTTTAAAAATATAGAAGTTGTAAAGTGTCTTTTGGGTTGAATGAGATTGCATCATCTTAAAACTTTTGTTTCCACCAATGTAAAAGAATTGTTGGAACCAAAAGATTATAAAATCGTCTCCAAAAATTTGGTAGTAGAGTATTTTATACTGAAGTCATAATTTAACATTGGTTCAACGGTTTCATATTGCTAAAGTTCACCTATCCATTTAGCCTATGGTTTGATGTTTTATTGTCGAACCGCAGGTATATACGATCTTTCAATTCAAACTTTAAATAAAAAACCACTAAAATATTGACATATCAAATATCCCTTAAACCTAAGAAATTACCATAATCGTATTAAGGAAAAAATCATCAAAATGATCATATTAATTTAGGATTTTAAATTGAAATTGAAATGAAAAAAATCTATCAAATATAATGTCTTCTTCTAACATAAATCAAAACTCAAAAGAAGATGGCCAAGAATACCCACTAAGCAAAGCAGAAGGGCACTATCTCATTTCCCCCCTCTTTTAAGCGTGGTCTCTCACTCTCTCTTAGCCTTCCTCTTTGTTTTTCTGTTTGTTCTTCCATCTCTCTGTGAGCTTTGTATCTCACCACTCTCCCCCTTTCCCTTCCTCTTTCTTCCCATAACCGATAGAAATCTAGAAACATCCCAAATACTTCTCCAATTTCGAGTTCGAAATGATTCTTCTCCATTCAGAGACGATAGTGTGAATCAAAGCACCTAAAACTTGGTGAACAATCTTGATGGAGCAAATTAGTTTGATAGCTTGTGAATAAACTAATTACTAAAAGTGATAAAAAAAACAGAACTCGTTAAACCAATCGAGTGAGTGTATAGTTAGTTCATCGCTTAAACCATTTTATTTATCTAAAGAATTAAAATACATAATCAGGTTCATCTTCACTTATTTACATATATTTGTCATACAAATTCATTATACAAAAAAAATGATTTTGAATCTGCATATCAAAATAAATCTCATCTTATGATTATTGGATCTATATGATATGAGCAAAAGGTCTAAGGCTATTGGTCAACTGGGCTGAAAATTAATACTAATTTAAGAATTATATATCGCTTCAAATGTTCAATACTCAAATTCAATATGCAATATTCAAACAAATGATATATGAGTTTCAACCCTTCCTCAATTTTTTTAGACAATAAAAGTCTCCCCTCCCCCAAACACACGCACACATTTGCAAAAAAAATACTAAATCTCAATTTCTTCTTCACTTTACATGCTTCTAAATTTATTGTTGACGTTGTTTGTTATAACTGTAAGCTGTAAAAAAGACTTTTCAGCTATGAAGTTAATCAAAAATTATTTTATAAATGAGTGTTTAGTTGTATACATTGAAAAAGGTTTTAGTCTCAAAATAAACAATTAATGTATTTTATAGATCTTTTAGAATCTGAGCTGTCATACGTTGATGTGAAAAACCACTCATTAATTCAAATTTTATATGTTATTTTTATAATATTTTATTTTTATCAAATGAAGTATTTCTCCATAAAACATGAGTTCACCAAACGCGAGCCCTTGAAGTTTAAGTCTAGTATGACCCATGAAGCATTAATGCTTGTACAGGATCGATCCATATACATTGTCTTCATGGTATGCTCTAACTGTGTTATGCTAGCTCGATCATGTGCCTGGGTATAGTTACATGCATTCTAATAATGAAGTTTCTACCTATTCACAACACCGTGATAAATAATAGTCATAAATGCATCTAGTATTTGATTTTGACTACCTAATAAAATACTACATTTAAACCAACTACTACTGATGTCACAAATAATAAGTACACCTTTAAATCATACATAAAATATTTCAAACATCATAAATATTAAGATTAAATTAATTATTATAATGAGTAAAATTGTATAATGAGGTTAATTATAACTCATTTATATGTTAATGCCCTTAAATTGATGAACACATCCAAAAATGGAGAAATGAACATCACATTAAACCCAATAACGTCTCATTATTGTCGCTCCATTCATGCCTGATTAGCAAGAGGTTTAACGTTTAGCAGTTAAACCGACTAAAATTTATAGAACCAGTCACCTATAGTTTGTAATAAATATTATTGCTTTATAGTAGTTCTGAAAATTTATATTAATTTAAAGAATTCACATCGCTTTTGCATAATGAATACTGCAATTCGGTATGCAATATTTAAAGCATTGAAATTTATGTTGCAATTTTAAGTTACCCGTCATTTTATAGGTTATAAAAAATTATAAATGACGTATTAAACTTTGATTTTCAAAATATTTAATAGGCTAGCTAACCCTTATGGAAAAGTCGTATGCTTTTCAAATCTTCGTTTAGTATATGTTTATAATTTAAGAAGATAAAACAAATTTGTTTAGTGGAATTGATTGTGATTATTGTTTTTAGTTGAAGATACCATGGTTCAAATCTTGATATTGATACTTTTTTATAGGAAGTAGAAAAATAATTGTGATAACAAAAATACTCTTCTTACTTTCACTCTCGTTTCACGAAATTTGAAATGAAAAATCTTAAAACATTGAATATATGTTATAGAAGAGATTCTTCAACCAAGTAGGTATTTTACCTGAAATTTTTTATCTTATAGAAAGTGATGAATTGAGAAATCGTAACTCAAGTAACATTGATTCAAACATTAAACATTAAATTGTTTGTGTAGTTCAGTTTGGACAAAATGCATGTGTGTAGCCTAAACATGGATCTTTGTGACAAATATAGTAATTTTTTGTGGGAAATCTACACATAAATATAGAGATAAATTGGCCGCTATGACGAAATGTAGTTCGTAGAATCACTCTCAAGCCACGAAATTTGAAATGAGACTCTCATTTTTCAATTTTATAATTATATTATGTGTAGATGTGTCACAAAAAAATGACTATACTCGTCACAAAGGACCATGTTTTGGTTACACTTCTATATTTTGTCTAAACTAAACTACACATATAATTTAATATTAATGTTTGAATCAATGTTACTTGAGTTTGAATTTCAGAATTAATCTCTTTCTATAAAATATTAATAATTTAAGATAAAAATATAAATATAAAAGCATCATCACCAAACATATTCCTAGAATTTAGTCAAAGAAGTAATAGTAAATATAATGTAGCTTAGCTGGTTATAATGTTCTTTCTTCCTTTAAGGGACCAAGGTTCGAATTCCAATGATAACATTTTTAATACATAAAGATGAACGGGGTGCGATGACAAAAATGACCTTCCTAGAATCACTCTCACGCCACGAAATTTGAAATGGGGCAATTCCAACCCATGTTTTGCCTTTATATATCTTGTAGACACTGTTGCTGTCAGCTGCCAAATAGGCGAATTATTTGGAATCAAAACTCCATTACAAGTAGTGTAATCGCGAAGGACGTATTATCAACACATCCCTCTGCAATATATAGAGGGGTGTGTAAGTTCAAATTCCTTGCACTCACATTAATTGTAGTTATGGGTAAATTTGTAAGTTCAACTTAGAACTTAAATATCTTCTTACTAAAAAAAATGTCATTACAAAGACTCGAACTTGAGTCCTTTAGATTGATAATCAATATCCCTAACCAACTGGGCTACAACAATTTTTATATAATTTTTGAATTAAAGAGAGAAAATAATGAAATATCTCAAAATCATAGGACTATCCACCGCAACAATCAATCATCGAATTAATTAATAACTGTAATTATTTACAAAGTGAATCATCATGATATACCTAGCTTTTAATAATAAAAAATGATATACCTAGCTTTATGAATCAGCTAAGTGAGTTTAATCACACAATTCTTCACCAAGAATCAAATAATACATTTTGAGTTTATGTATGTCTTACAACCTTTACATTTATTAGGTTACATGACTTTGTAGTTTATAGGAATACAAGGATTGTTTACAAAAGTGCTCTACAAAATTTTATTTCATAACATATAATTTGACATTTATGATCTATGGTTTTGTAACGAGACATTTTCAATGCTATAAGTGAATGACCAAAAATCATTGGCTAACAATTTACCTAATGGTTGACAATTATAAGCATAGAATTGAAAGATTAAATATGTTGGATGAAGGTTGGCCAAGGTTGGAAGTTCCCCGTGGGGCCTTGGAAACCCGAGGGACTTGGATTAGCCGGTGATGCCCAATCAAAGTTGGGGTGGTTCCTCCATCTGGGGTTATAAGTATTGCTATACGGGTTGTTGACCCTAGCATTTGCCACAAAGTTGACTTGCTCCTCCGGTGCCATTGACAAATGAGCCAATTATCATTGGCTACATTTAACAAACAATGGTATGTGTATATACATTGGAAATTCTATGGTACGCTTTAGGTAATCAAAGCGTAGAGTGGGAGCGAGAGCGTCGATTTTTAAAGAATTCAATGTTGAGAGCGTGAATAGAGCGCCAATATTATATTATTTAATTATTCTTCAAATAAAAATATATTATAAATAATAGTTTCTTATAATGAAATCCATTAAAAATACAAAAAAAAACCAAGAAAGTTATAAGAAAAAATACGATGGGTCACGATAGGGAATTGATTCCCTTTTATTATTCACTAACTATTTTAAACTTTTCAAAGTGGGTCTTGATTTCTCCCAGATCTAGAATATCGATTATTTTCCCTCTCTCTCCGTGTCCTCTCCTTTTCTCTTCTGTTTTCTTTCTTTACCAAAAACACAATTGACGGACAATGTGACCAGTGATTTGCAATATGTAAAAAGCTTCCTTGCATGCATCTCATCCTATCCCTTTGGCTTCTCTATAGAACAACTCGAATCCCTACCTGCTGCATGTCGTTGTTCTCCTTAGCAACCTTGATTTTTCCATCAAAGGCCAACCAATCGACTTCTCTCCAGTTGGTGGCGGTGGCAATGGCTATGACGATAGAAAGGAGATGGACGTATTTGGAGGAAGGAGACGAAGGGGCAAAGGAGTGCCGCTGCTTCTCGGTTCTTGTTGGCGGCGAAGATTCACCGCAGACTCATACCGCAAAAGGGAGTAGATCTGGGTTTTTCATATGTTTCCTTCTGCAATTTTACATTTTACCCCCTGGCTCTCACCGCAGAACAATCCCAGTCTATTGCTGGCCTTTCGCTAGCCTCTCGGAGTCTTCTTTGTGCCGAATCTCCAAGAAATCGCGCTCCCCAAAATGAAAGTCGCACTCCAAGATTAAGTAATTCGCGACTTTTTTGCGGATACCCGAAAATTCGCTCTTCGCCGCTCTAGAGCGGGATCGTGGGACCTGTACCCGCGAATTGGGTGAGCTAAGGTACGCTCGATGGATTGAGGGTTATTACATCTCCTTAGTTAAATAATATTATCTAGATCATAGATTAATCACGTAACTAAACCATATATCATAATTCTATAAATCCTAATATAGTGCATATGGTATGTTGTATACATCTTGGCGAATCAGAATCATTAATTATGTTCTTAGTATATGTGATATTAGGGTTTAAGTTCTATAGGTTTATGGTATATGATTTAATTATTTGAAACTTAATCTCCCTTTTCAAATTTCCTGCAATGAGAGGGAAATTAGGAAGGACATTTTTGTCTTCACAATTATCTGTATTTTTTTTAATTTATTTACAGAAAAAGATAGACATATTGAGATTTGAATCATGGTCACTTCAAAAAAAATGAAGGTTTAAAATCAATAAGACTATATAGATTTGTTGTATTTTCTTAAATTAAAAATATATACAAAGCTAAAATATGAAATCACAGAACTTTTCAACAGTTAGCTAGCCCAATAAATATTTCGTAAGTACTTATTTGGTGTTTTGATACTTCGATTTTGATATTTTTTATTTTAATTATTGTTTAATACTTAATTTAAAATTTTATCTATCTTATAAATAGACGATAACCATAAATTTGCAACCAAAATATTGTTGGTTCGAGTATTTCATACCGAATTATAGTATTGAATATGTAGAAGCGATATACAATTCTTAAATTACCATTAATTTCCAAAACTATAGTGAAGCAATCATATCTTTGTGCAAACTATAGGGGACTGGTTCTCTGAACATTTTTGTCCGGTTAAATACTAAGTTTTGAAACTCTTCCTAGGGGTGTATGTGGGTCAGTTCGTTTGGGTTTAGATATTTTAATCACCTAACTCATATACCACGATTTTGAAAACACTATATACAAACTCACCGAAATAATTTAATATTTTAACGGTTTGTGTCCTACATACCAAATGAACCAATTTACATGTCACTTAACTAAGGACGATATCATTGTCCAATCCCATCATTCTAATGTCAATCCATAAAAGTAACCCATATTCGCGTTTGTTAACACATGTTTCACATTGTCATTACTGTGACCGGTAACTTCGCTGCAACTGATTCGGTATTGCTCATCATATGGCTCCAAACTTATAAACATATCGGGCCATCAGTTTTATGACACAACTCAAAGTGAAGGCAACTCATCGTCTGGTGGAATTTTGGCGCTTGCTGGTGTCCATTAATCTAATTGCAAGCATAATGATGCTAAAATTAAGCTTTCACACAACACACTGGGAGTTGGGGGTGTGAACTTGGAGTAAAAGTTGATATTGGGTCTGGGAAGGAAAGTGGTGAGAGGAAGAAATTGTGTTTGGATTTGGTAGCAGGTAAAGTTCATGGTTCGGTTTCTTTTCGTAAAATGCTTTGATTTATTTTAGTTAAAGTTATAACATCATGGTTATGTGGGATCAAATGAAACAAAAATGAGCTTGGGGGATGGGAATTCCAACTTAGAAGCAGTGGATTAGATTTTGATAAACTCAAGTTCATGATTAACTGAAAGAATATTTAGATTTAGACTTTGTGGTATTGAGATGTTCATAGAGAGTTTAAAACTGATCCAAGGCCATGGATTGATATTGGTTAGTTGGTTGTGGTTTTGAGGAAGGTGTATAAAATGTCATGGAAGTAGTTTACAGCAAGTGAAGGCAATGAAAAGGCAGTTGGTCAGGGTAGTGATTGAACCAATGAGGGTATTTAAAGACATAGAAGAAAAATCAAAGCAGTTGAAGAGAGAGAAGTGGTAGATGATCAGGATATTAATGAAAATGGAGAGGGTTTTGAAGGGCATGGAAGTGAACTGGATTAGGTGAAGGCAGAGAAAGAGGAGAAGAGCATATTGATGGAATTGAAGATGAGTGTTGGTTTTACGAGCTTATTAAAACTGTCCCGAGGATGATGAGTTGGCCAAATACAAGAAAGAGGATTGAGGAGTTGGAGATTAAGCTGACAAGAAATTCAATTGAAAGAGAAATTAAGGTTCATGGAGAGAAGGTCCATCAAAGTAGCATAAATGGAGTTGCAGAAGGAGGATTAGAAATTGAATTTTGGTTTAAAACATATATGTCGAGAGATTGAAGATAGGGGGGATAAAAAGTTGATTGTACAACAAAGAGTGGAAACTATTGGATCTTTAGGTGTTATGGTTGTTGAAACTACCACAACCTATGTTTATGTTAAAACGAGAAATCATTGATTGATTTACTAAAGTTAAGGTCGATTCACTATTCAAACTACTGGAACCTGTAGATAAGGAGTGTCTAATTTTGTGTCTCATTACTTTGATCGAGTCTATTAGTATATTGGATGTAACTCTAATTTTGTCATTTGCTCTCAAAGTTTTGATGGTCTCCTTTTAGTTGAGTTGTTAGCATATGATTTACTTGAATCAACAACTCTTATTTTTGTTTTTTTTATTTATAAATCCATGTCTTTTTTATTAGTGACATGTTATTCATAGAGGAGAGATTTGAACCATTTATGTGGGATTGTGAGTTTTCATTTCAGTTTCAAACTATCTATGGATCGCGTGAGAGTTCCAATGAGCTTTTATATTATATATTTCTAGACAATCTATTAACCAATATCATTTTAATGGGGCTCAATTATCATTATGAAAAAGGGATTAATGATACATTTTTATATTCTTAAACGAGGAGGGTATTTTACTGAATGTTCGGCCTATATATTCAGTATTTATGTAGCATCTCGATTGAATGATTTTACATAAACTTAAACGAATTTATAGACTTAAACATAACATAAAAACATAAATATTAAAACATGAACATAAATATAAATATTAAAATTCCAGCCAACGGGCCGATTATAAGCTAGTATTATTAAAGGTGAAAACCAAAACCCATTGCTCCATTTCAAATTTCCTACATCGAGAGTGAAAAAATTTCCTACATCGAGAGTGAAAGTAGGAATGACATTTTTGTCTTCACAACTACTTATTTCTTTGTTATTTATTCATAAAAAATACATGCATATGGGGATTTGAACCATGACCACTTTTAAGAGAGCGAAGGGCTACAACTAATTACACTACATATATTTGTTGTATCTTTTAAAAGGAAAACATACACAAACCTAAAATCTCAAAAATCAGAATACCTTTTCAGTAGTTAACTAACAACTAAATCTCTCATAAGTACTTATTTGGTGATTTGATACTTTGACTTTCATATTTTTATTATTTTAATTGTATTTTAATACTTAATTTATATTTCATTGTATATTATAAATAGAGAATAATTTTAAAATTGCAACCCATATATCACTTGGTTGAATATTGCATATAAAATTGGAGTATTAAATAGGTTGAAGCAATGTCAAATTTTTAAATTAGTATTAATTTTTAGAATTAACTATGAAGAAATCATATCCTTATGCAGACTATATGGGACTGGTTTTTGTAACGTTTTAGCCGAGTTAACTGCTAAGCTTTCAACATGTTCCTAATCTGGCATGATTAGATCCAATGATCATTGTACGAGATTGAGCTTAATCATTGGTCCATTTCACCAATTTTTGACATGTTAATGAATTTCTAGGGCAATGACATATGTCTACGTCTAAACACAATACAATATATAAGACTAGAATGAGAAAAATATTTTTCCTGTTTCAAATTCCTACAACGAGAGCGAAAGTATGAATGGTATATTTGCCTTCACAATTATTAAACTTATTTATTTGTAGAAAATAAACAAGTATTGGAATTTGAACCAATGTATCTTCCAAAAAAGACAAGAATCATAAGCCTGATTCTCAACCCAAGTTTGACATGGTTGGGCGAACCAGTTTTGCCCAAACCCGAGTATTTGTTAGGATGTTGGAGGCCAGTTGGTTATCAACCCAAACTTGGTCAAACTAAGAAAACCAGATGAATTAGGAAATCGAGTTGATTCAACTAACTCATCTAAGCACTAAGTCACTTCAAACCGACATCATTTTCAACAAATCTAATCACTAGCTCTGTTGACATGTCGTCCTTCTCCTTATCAAAGACCTATGCAACAACATACATCAACCACCCGTGTTCAGTTATCCCATAATATATTTTCCTCCTTTAGTATCGGCAGACAACAATACAAGTCCCAATCATCTCAAAAGCCAACACATTTCCTCAATAGTCAATTTCATTTTCCTTCCAGCAGCAAGGTCACATCGCCAATCAACCACATCTCAAACAAAGAATAAGCCACAAGATTAGACGAACATATATTTGGATCGAGACTTGGTGTGATTAACAAAGACCAATGTCCTCATTTGTATATATACATGGAATCGAATTAGAGAAGAAGAGTAATAACATTGAGAATGGAATATGATATGCAATGAAAAGAAGAAAAGAAAAAACTAAAAAATGAAATGGAAAAGAATAAAAAGAAAGAGGGAAGAGATTTAAAATTAAAGCGTCATTTTAAAGCATCAGTTCCAAGTAAGAGAAAAGTATAAAAATGAAACTCAATTCTAACGAATAAGTTATATTAAATCGTCATTATATCTAAATTTATCAGAGAAAATTCATAAATATCTAAGCATAATACATGTGAAATCAATAAAATTTTAATGCACCTAGGTAATGCTAGGCTTAACCAGATTAATCTAATTCATCCATTAATCCTTAACTCACTTGCTTAAATGACTCATCGATGGAATCGAGTGACAACCTTGGTCATAACAAATTAGACTGAACAAAATCCCAAATTTGTGGCGTATTCGGCCAATTTTTTGGGTGCACTGCCTTATAATCATCATTCTGACCATGCGATTCATGTCAAAATGGTATCACTTGTTGCTTATGATACTATGAACAATAAGCACATGAATTTGAAAAAAAATAATCTAAGATCTACTTTAATTTGAAGGATTTAGGATTTAGGGGTTTAGGTTTACAGTTTGGGATTTTGTGTAGGGATTCAAAATTGAAGGTTAAGGGGTCAGGGTAATAGATTAATTCGTTATGATTCTATGTCATATCATCATGTTAGATTGATAGTACTAATTAAAGTTCAAAATTTGATGTATTATGGACACTCTTAGAGACAGTGCACCAAAATAGCCACCATATATATATATATATGTATGGGTCACACTCGTATGCTCCTGATGCATACTATGCT